TTTGTAGGAGTTACGGGGGCAGAAATTGCTTGGGAGATAGGACTGGTTATAGGCTCTTGTTGGAAATTGAAAAGAAAAGATTCAGAAGCTGAAGTTGGGATGGAAGGGGACGTCACGATTGAAGGTATGTTGAGAAAATTGTTGTCTATTTGTTGTCTAGGATACATTTGAGCAAGGATCGAGGGATGATTCGGAAGTGAAGTTGCTTGCAGGGTTAAGGAGATGTTAAAAGGTTTGGCGCTGTTAACATGCGTGTTGTTTTTTTTTTTTTTTTTTTTTTTTTTTTTTTTTATATATATATATATATATTATTTGTGTTTTAGTTCAAACTTTAAAGTTCTTGTAGTGACTTGAGAGACTGTTCATTTATTTTGTTTTTTAAGAGGAGCAAGAAAAAAAAAAAAAAAAAATTAATTACAAGAAGTATTTTGTACAAATATTAGTTGTGAGAAAGAGAAAACCGAGAGAAGGAAGTGAGAGGTGCAGAGTGCAGGGAAGGGTTATCGTTTTTACTTTGAACCGATGTTAATGTTGAGTGACCGACTAACTTGCTTCTTTGAATGGGATTACAAAATAGTATCGGTATGTGTAACAAGGCAACCGAACCTAAAAGAGAAACCTGCACCTCACGATGACACATAAAAAAAAAAAAGCACCACACTTTTTTTTTTTGTTTCCGTTGCGCAAGGACTTGTGATTAGTAAAGGATGTAATAGTCTAGAAGGTTGGTTTTGATGAATTACCAGAAAGAGCAGAAACAATATTTATATTAAGTTTTGTGCCAATTTATCTGCATTAATATAGCTTTTTAATAAGAAGATATCTTTTATATATATATTAATAAAATTTATCATATAACTTCTTTTCATGTAGTCCAATGTGTTCAATGTATCATTATATTACTAAAAAAGGCGTTGATCGCGCGTGGCGGAGTTTTAAATCCTCAACGAATATCTGATATGTAAAAAAACAAAGAAAAAAATAGGCTACGTAGATCAAACTCTATGTCCCTGAATTTGATGTCAATATTTTCAAATCATAATCCAATTTAGTCTATTTCCACAAGAATGACTCATTCAGATAGCATTTACTCTAAATTATCACGATAAAATGCCAATTGGGAAGAGAGATCCTTTAAATGTATGCTAGTAGCTATTTGGGAAATAAGAAGAAATGTTTCTATTGTTGATATGGAAATAGAGTCGGTATCAATTTACATATTCGGATTAAGGCTTTCTTTTTGTCGTCCATCGTTGTGTGATATTAATATTTGCTTCCTGCAATAACCCCCTCATCTTTCTCTATATTTATTGGTTAAGTTTTTGTCCGGCTCTATAAACCTTGGCCGAATGTTTCTGCAAACATTGAACATAAAATGTTTATGACTGGTGCTCGAATGAATGATATCAAGTTGCGCCACAAGTGATACCATTATGTTATTGGATCAATAACATGCATGCTCTGCTCGCATTTGTCAAATTAAATCTGTTTTCATGCCATTACAAATGTGAGGTAAATCGTTCTTAAATTATGAAATTGCTAGTGTACTGAATATGATAATAAATGTTAATATTTGATGTCTCTCTCTTACTGATTTATTAGTAACTCTAAATGTGGCTTATCGTTATTATACAATAAAGTCTCCATTAACTTAAGAAATTTTCTTATCCTTTTCTGGAGAATATGTCAATGACTTGGTCAGACGATGTACAATTTGATCATACTTGTCTAATAATATAAATAAACTCAGGCATGGTTCTTGTTAATATTTATAATTCGTTGAATTAAAACTGTAAAAAATGCGCGTTCAATCCTGATTTTTTATATGCATGATCGTAAAATTAATTTAAACATTGACGTTTAAAAAAAAACAGATCAACTTGTAATAACAGGTTCTACAGTATCGAAAAACAACTGAGAACGATTGCTATGAATATTTGTTTTATGATGTTTTTACTATCGCTATATAAAATAAAATTTTTTTGATCATGTGGCCATGGTTGTTTATTTAAGGTTGTGGCTCACTTTTCCAAATAGTGTCACCAACTCCATAATTACGGTAAATTGAGAAATCAACTTCTCGAATTCTTTTTAATACCCTATTACAAATAATCTCTCATTGGTGTCGGCTAAAGTATTTTAAAAACCCAATTGGATCTCTTCCGCAAGTTGACATACGTACTATTATTAGACATTAACCACTAATACGTATAAATTTTTAACGGATTAATAAGTATCTAAATAGCATGTATCGGTATGTTCAAAAGTGATAACCCAAATAAAAAAAAAAACATTATTAAAATAATATTATTAAAAATATCATTAATTAATACGTACATATCGATATGTTGTGTATGAAAAGAATTATTTCGAAAGTTAATTTCATAATTTTAAATTAAATAAAATTTTATAAGACCACAATTATTTAAAGTTGCTAGTTTTTATAAATATTTGAGTTTGTTTTTTAACAATTAAATTTATTTTCATTTATAAGCTTTGTGAATTGTTTTTGTACTGTATCAAATCTATTGTCGCATTTTCAAAAAAAAAAAAAAAAAGATAATTATTTATAAAATTTTTGATTTTTTTATTAAATTAATATATAACTGATAAGTTAGCAGTTAGTAATAAAATTTAAAAAAATTATTTTACTAAATACCGGTAATCTTTTTTAAGTCCAATTATTCGGAGGATACTATTTTTATGCAAAGTGATATATGTATAGTAACATAGGTTCTGCTTTTGATGCAAAGATCAAAAAACGTCGCTGTCGCAATTTATACTTATCAAATATTATTTATGAGTCGCCTCAAAAAAATTTTCTCTGATTTTTTTTTTTTTTTTTTTAATTCTAATTTAAATATAATTAATTGTTCGGAGCATGGCGAGGATTCTTTCCTGTAAAGTGATACCAAAAAAGTAATGCATTTTAATAAAACCACCAAAAATATAATTTGCGAATTTTCTATTTTTCACCATTGCATCTTTGTGTAATATAACAATCTGTATAACTTAATCATTAAAATTTTGGTTTAATAAATAGATAAACCTAAGGTTGGCATACCTCTGCGGGTATCAGTTCATTCTGCATACGTATAAAAAAAATAGCTTTATATGCGGCTATGATTATTATCAAATTAGGTTAGATCATCGTGATTATTAAAAATCCGGTAAGGGAGTGTACTTATAGTACTTATATGGTTCAGGACATCTATACTCAACAGTTACACGAAGTGTTTTAATTTTTTAAATACCTATAAGAAGTTTAAAAAAAATCTATCTAGTAACTTTATAAAGCTATATCAGCTCTACATCGCTAAAACTTTTTATAGTAATAAGATCTTGAAAAGATATTTAGTACAGCAATAGGTGAATCTGTACCCAGTTAGGTCATGTGACGATAATCAAATGATTTTCTACATGTGATGTTCGATGATGATCTTGCAAACTCAACCAATTAGAAACCTCAATTTTACAATTAATACCTAAATATTTTTAAATTTTGAGCGAAGATATCTCAACAACAACGTGATTAAATTAGATGAAAATCTTTTTAATCGAATTCTACTGTTACAGAGAATTAAAATAAAAAAAATT